AAGAGATGGGCAGCGCTCAGCATCCTGGACCGGGAGCCGTGCTGCGAAAGCGGGGATGCGTGGTATTACCGGGTGGGCTTCGCTTTTGAGCGAACCCAGCTGGTGTTTGCAGCCAAGGTAAGCAGGGAATTGGGGGGAATGCCCGGAGCGGTGCAGAGGGAGCCGGCTCCTGGAGCGCAGGGGGCTGCGGTGCTGCAGGCGAGTGTGAACCAGGAGTGTTGGCTTTTCCACCGACCCCCGTCACGCAGGCGCTTCCTCGTTTTGCACCTACTTCTGCATTTGCTATAAACGAGACAGCGCTGCCTGCACGGGCCAGGGAGGTGAGGGCAACAGCTGCCCACGAGTCCAAAGGACACGTCAAGGAGAATGGCACCGCTGGAGGACATGCACCCTGGCAAGTGGTCTCAAGGGGCCAGCGGATGCCAAGTGGAGGCTGGAGCAGAGCTGGCTGCTCAGGCAGTGCAGGATGAGACCCCTCAAAGCAGCTTTGCAGCTCACCTGGGGGTTACACCTCCCCTCCTTTCCCATTTCTTGCTCAAAGCCATTCCGGAGGGCGCCAGTGGGTTCAGAGCGGGGAGCCCAGCACCATGCATGGGTTGGACCAGGGCTGGTGGCCTCGAGGTGGTGGCCTGGCCCAGGACAAGGCACCTCGTGGCTCCGTCCTCGTGCAGCTGGCCACGTCGTCTCTCCCCGCAGGTCCCCAAGACGTGCTGTGCCACCCTGGGGGTGCAGAGCTCCCTTGGGGCACACTGCAGCATCCAGCGCCTGATCGGCCACTTCACCGACCACCTCCCTCGGGAGCTGGTGCTCCCGGGAAGTCCTGAGGAGCAGAGTCAGTCCCCTTTCAGAGAAGAGCCAGCCCGTCTTGCCACCCACCCTGTCCTGCAGGTCCTCATTTCTCCTGAGGTTCCCTACCAGACCCTGGCGGACTTTGTGAAGGGATCCCACAGTTTGCACAGGACCAGCCCTGGGCACTACGAACGCCTGGCTTGCCTCCTCCTCCTGCAGGTGTGCATGGGGCTGGAGCATCTCCGGGTGCAGAACGTGGGGCAGGGGGACCTCTGTCCCAAGAACCTGCTGCTGGTGCAGTGCCCATGTCCTCCTTGGAGCCAGCAAGGCAAGGAGGCATCCCTGGGGCTGTCCCTTCCAAGGCTGCTCATCAGCAGCTTCTTCAAGGTTAAAGACAAGCGAAGATCTTGTTCTACCAGCCAAGAGCAGGACTGGACCGAGTGGCTTGCTGCACTACCCTCCCCGGTGGCAGATGAGCCGAATGTGGGCGTGCTGATCTATCAGATCTTGCATGTGGACATCTCTCTGGAGAACGCCTTGGGGTTCAGAAGCGATAGACTTCCTGAAATTCCCTCCCTGTCCATCTATTCCACGGGACTCAAGCGTCTGGCCACGCTGCTTCTCCACAGAGATCCCTGCAAGAGGGTCTCCATCGAGCAGGCAAGGAGCATCCTGCAGGTCTTGCTCTGGGGGCCTCGCCAGGAGCTCTTCGCCAGGAGCAAGAAGACCCTCACCCTGCTCCGGAGCTGGGTGGAGGTGAAGAGGGCTCTGCTGCTCCTGAAGTTTGCGGAGAATTCGGCTGGGGCGGTGGGGAGCCCCGGCCTCGAGGACTGCCGGTCCTGCCAGTACTTCAAGGAGGTCACCGAACACACGCTCTACCAAGTCACCCAGGCTCTCTACACTCCCTAAAGGCAAGCTCAAGTTCAGCCCCCCCAAAAGGTCTCCTCAAAGCCAAGGGCCCACGAGGACCTGGCCAAATCCACCAGCTGACAAGGAACCCCAGCGGGTCCTGGCTGGGAAAACTCTGTTTGCAAACCCGAACCCGCTTCCCCCACAGCACGTGAACGATGAAGCTGGGGCCAAACTCCCACCCATGGCTCCCACAACGCAGGGCATGTTTTTACCCCCGCGACCGATTTTTGTTTGATACTGTGAGTCCAGTTTATCGGAGCATCTCAGGAAAGACAGCTGGATGGAAGCCACAGGATCAAGCACCGATTTAGTGGTTGATTATCCCGAGTAAAGTTTATGGGGCTTAGACTTTGCACAACCCCCCCTCAGACCCCTCCTGCCTCCACAGGGCTTTCACTGTTTTAAATAACACCACAAAGCCACACATGACAGCCCACCTTAATGCACCGTTTGCAAAGGAGAAATACAACACCTCGTACAGCCTGCTCTTTTTAGAAACAATTTGTGGCATAGTCACAAATATAAATGACATTTTAAAGGGGGAAATACAGCAGCCACACAGCTTCAATAAAACCCAGATCTGAGCCTCTTAAATACTGGTCCTTTATGTGCTTCTTTGACAGCGTTCCACACCCCAGTGATGTATCCAGGGAGAAACACAAAGCCAAACTTCACTGCCCGGCGGTGATTAGCCAGAACAGCCTCGATGGCGTCCAGTAAATAACTCGGGTCAGTTTATAGCTGCTGCACCCGGGGACCAGGCCGCAGGGTCGCTCTCTGCACCACGGCAGGGCTGTTGCATCTGCTGCTCGGTATGGAGCGCTCAGCACCGCACAGGATCTGCACCCCGGTCCCCAAAGCCATGCAAATGCCGAGTGAGCATCACAGTGAAGGACCATGCAAGGCCCCGCACAGGTCATTTAAATTATTGTTAAGTAATTATTAATCCACTCGCAGCTATCACCTACCTGACAGCAGCAAGAGCCACCTCCGTGGGCCGTGCACACAGCGGGACGGACTGTCCCTCAGCAGCTGCCGCTGGTGCAGCCCCGGTGTGCCCACGGACGTGGGCAGTGGCACGCCAGGGCCCATGGCGTGGTCCTCCTAGGAGTGCCCAAGCTCAGAACAACCCAAACCCTAATAAACCAGAGCTGTGACACCCACCCCACTCCCCACGATTGAACCCAGCTCCCAGCTCGGTGGG